CTCTGCTGGCTTCTCAGCAGAGCTGCCTGTAAACACTTGCTCATCACTCACCCAACATGGCTTTTGCTTCCATCTTTCCACTCACATAGCCAACAACCACTTTCTGGTCCCTAACCCAAGGGTCTTCTTAAAACTATCTCCCAGCCACCTCAGCAGCAAGCACTTTATTCCTTTGATTTCTCCTTACTGTTTGGAAATGGTCCTGGGCTTCAGTAACACCCATACCCCTGCATTCTTATCCTCTCTTAGTACTAATCACAACTTCTGTCATCTGTATAGAGCTATGGGCTTTAGAAAGCGTTGCCACAAGTGGTACATTTATTTATTTAAGATGCATTACCAATAAATGTGTCATTTGGTCCTTCTAACCCAGTAGGCTTACTAGGTGGGCATTACCTCATTTGAGAGAGGAGAAACAGGAGGCCCATAGCTGAAGAAATTTGGTTTAAGTCCACACACAAAGGGTCAAAGTCATGACTTCAATTCAACTGTCAACTTAAAATCCCACATTCTTCCCAAAAGCACCATCAAATGAAGAGTTAAAAACATTCAAGTTCTATATCGACAAAAATGAAGATACACTGATTATCTTGGAGAAAGACCAAGAGGCCAATGGTGCATAATGCCTCTGAAGGAAAAGCAAAAAGGACTGATAAAAACCTGAGATTGTCTTTTCATACATAATTTTAGAATCATAAATTGTTCACCCTTAAAATTTCCAAGACTGGCCAGGCATGGTGGCCCATGCCTGTAATCTAAGCACTCAGGAGGCTGAGGTAGGAGAATCACTGTGAATTCGAGGCCAGCCTGGGCTACATAGAGACCCTGTCTCAAAAAAACAAAACAAACAAACAAACCAAAATTTCCAAGATTTGCCTGGCATGGTGGTGCATGCCTGTAATCCCAGCACTCGGGAGGCTGAGGTAGGAGGATTGCCACAATTTCGAGGGCAGCCTGAACTACATAGCGAGATCCTGTCTCAACCCCCCCCCCCAAAAAAAACCTCCAAGACTCAAATAGAATCCTAACAGCAGACATCCGATAAGCACTTGAACATACGAGCTTCAGTAGTTCATCAACTGCTGCAATAAATAACATGTGTAAATCATTTCTCCCTTTCTAAAGAAAAAGTCTCCAGCTGTTTGGTAAAATTAAAAAAAATATCATGGATAACAATCATAAATATACATGCACCAAATACTGGCACACCCAACAGGATAAAACATACACATGAAAAATCAGATAAACACTAATACAACTATCATGGGGGACCTCAATCCTCCACTGTCATAAATAGACAGATCAACTAGACAAAATATCAACAAAGAAATATCAGAGCTGAATCAAACCTTTGAACAAACGAACTTAGCTCTTATATTTGTAGTGTTCCACCCCAGAACAAAAGAATACATATTCTTCTCAGCAGCACATGGGATCTCCAAAATAGACCATTTACTAGCTCACACAACATGCTTAAGACAAAGAAATTGAAATTATCCCATGCATATTATCAGATCAGTGCAATGAAATTGGAAAAAATGGCAGAAGAAACCACAAAAACTATATAAACACGTGGAAATTAACACTTTTGAACAACCAATCAGTTGCAAATGAAATTAGAGAAATTAGTTTCTACAACTGAATGATAATGCCAATATGACATACCAAACTTACAGGACACAATGAAAACAGTCCTACAAGGGAAGCTGAGTGAATTCTCACATTAGAAAAACTGAGTGAGCGCAAATAAATAAGCAAATGTTGAACCTCAAACTTTTAGAAAAAGAAGAAGTTAAACCCAAAGCTCATACAAGGAAGGAAATTATAAAGATCAGATCAGAAATTAATGCAATTGAGAGTAAGAAAACAATATAAAGAATCAATGAATGAAGAGTTGGTTCTTTCAAAGATTAAATAAAATAGAAAAACCCTTAGCCAACCTTATGAAATAAAAGGAAAGATCAAATCCATGCAATTAGGAATGAAAAGGGAGAAATCACAACAGATCCTGTAGAAATCCAGAAGATCAACAGGACTTACTTTGAAAACTATTCAACTAAGATGGAAAATTCAGAAGAAATGGACAGATTCCTAGGTACATATGAATTACCAAAACTGAAGAAGATATAAACATTTTTTTTTCATTTTAAACAATCCAGTATCAGTCAAAGAAATTGAAGAAGTAATTTTAAAAACTACCAACAAAGAAAAGCCCAGGTCCTGACAGATTCACTGTTGAATTACACAAGAAATTTAGAGATGACATAATGTCACTACTCCACTACTCCTCAAACTCTTAAATGAAATTGAAAGGGAAACAATACTCCCAAAGTCCTTCCTAGAAGCAAGCATTACCCTGATACCAATACCAGAGAAAGATCCAAACAAAAAGGAGAACTACAGGCCAATCTACTTAATGAACATAGATACAAAAATCCTCAATAAGCTACTGGTAAACAATGCAACAAATCATCAAAAAGATCATATACCATGACCAAGTAGGATTCATCCCAGGGATGCAGGGTTGGTTCAACATATGCAAATCAATAAATACACCACACTAACAGAACCAAGGACAAAAACCACATGATCATTTTAATCAATGCAAAAAAAAAAAAAAAAGCATTTGACAAAGTCCAGCACCCTTTCATGATAAACACCCTAAAGAAAACTGGAATAAAAGGTGTTTCTCTCACTCTGATAAAATCCATCTACGACAAACCGAGAGCCAATATCACACTAAATGGTCAAAAACTGAAAGCTTTCACTGTAAAATCAGGAACAAGACAAGGATGTCCACTACCACCACTCTTGTTCAATACAGTTCTGGAAACATTAGCCAGAGAAATTAGACAAGAGAAAGAAATAAAAAGAGTATAGATAGGAAAGGAAGAAGTAAAATTATCAGTTTGTGGATGACGTGATACTCTACATAGAAGACCCCAAAAACTCCACCAAAAGACTCCTAGATTTAATAACCAAATTCAGTAGCGTAGCAGGATACAAGGTCAACACTCTAAAAATCAATAGCATTCCTGTACATGAATAACAAATTCACTGAGGGAGAAATTATGGAAATAGCACCTTTCACAATAGCATCCAAAAATGAAATACCTAGGAATCAATCGAATGAAGGAAGTAAAAGACCTTTATTTGAAAACTACAATACTCTGAAAAAGCAGATAGAAGAAGACATTAGAAAATGGAAAGATAGCCCCTGTTCTTGGATAGGCAGAACAAATATGAAAATGGCCATGCTTCCAAAACTGTTACACAGATTTAATGCAATCCTGATCAAAATATCAACAGCATATCTCATGTAACTGGAGAAAACAATCCTAAAGTTCATTTGAAACCAGAAGATACCTAGAACAGCAAAAGCAATTCTGGGCAATAAAGGCAAGGCTGGGAGCATCACAATCCCTGACTTGAAATTATACTACATACCAAGTTACCATGATAAAAACATCATGGTACTCACAGAAAACAGACCCAAGGATCAATACAACAGAATCATAGATTCAGAAACAACCCCAAAGACACTCAGCTGCCTTACATTTGACAAAGGGGCCCAACACCTTCACTGGAAGAAAGGTAGCCCTTTAATAAATGGTGCTGGGAAAACTGGCTTTCCACATGCTGAAGATTAAACCAAGACCTATATCTCTCACCATGCACTAAACTAAAATCAAAATGAATTATTTTAAAAGAGGAACCCTTAATCTGCTGGAAGAATAAATAGGTAAAACTCCTGGAGACACAGGTGCAGGCAAAGACTTTATGAACAAAACATTGATTGCACAGAAAATACCGTCTTACAAAGAATCAATAACTGGGACCATTTCACATTAAAAAGCTTTCGCACAACAAAAGAAACCACCAACAGAGTAAGGAGACAACCCACAGAATGGAAAATTTTTTTTTTACCAGCTATTCCTCAGAAAAGGACTAATATCTAAAGTATATAAAGAACTAAAAAAACCCCAGACCTACCAAATTTATTTATTTATTATTATTATTATTTTTTTAGACCTACCAAATTTAAAGACCCTGTTCAAAAATAGGCATCTGAAATGAACAGATACTTCTCAGATGAAGAAGTCCAAACAGCAAATAAGTATATTTTTTAAAATGTTCAACATTACTGGTCATTTGAGAAGTGCAAATTAAAATACTGAGATTCCATCTCACTCCAGAAAGAATGGCTATCATCAAGAAATCAACCAATAGCAAATGCTGGTAAGGCTGTGGGAAAAAAGGAACCCTTCTTCACTGTTGATGGGAGTGTAAATTAGTACAACCAATATGGAAATCAGTGTGGAGATTCCTCAAAAAACTAAAACTAGAGGTTCCATTTAACCCAGCTATTCCCCTTCTTGGTATCTTCCCAAAAGAGTTAAAAGCATCATACCACAGCAATATGTGCACACCCATATTTACAGCAGCACAATTTATAATAACTAAATCTTAGAAATAGCCCATATGCCCATCAACAGATGAATGGATAAAGGAAATATGTTTTTATAAACAATGGAGTACTGTTCTGCCATAAAGAAGGATAAATTTGAGACATTTTTAGGTAAATGGATGCACCTTGAGAACATATTTTTAAGTTAAATAAATCGGACACATATGTTTAAATATCTCATTGTTTCTCTTGTGTGAGAAACCCAAAGGGTAAATAAGGAGCAAAATGGAGGACAGATATTGGGAGGTAGAAGAAAACAATCAAATGGGAATGGGAAGAAGGGAGTGGGGAAGGAAAAGAGAAGGAAGGGAATAAGGTTTAAAAAAAACAATGGAAGGAAAACAGTGGAAACAAAGTTTTATAAAAAGGGAGGAGAAGAAGGATTGAAGGGAGGGGAGGGGAATGGGAAAAAAAAGAATTAAGATATATTATGTACAGGTACAAATTTCCTATGATGAATGTGATCATTACATATGTCTAAAATGTACCAATAAATATTAACTTAAAAAAATTCTCATGTATGAAGGCATTGCCGATTTAAATATACATTTTTATTTGGAATATTTTATTTTGCCTTGCAGCACTCCCAAGAAATTAAAAAGTGCACTCATTTTAGCTCCATAAAACACAAGGTTGGATTGGAAATTTCTCACATTTAGATATTTCTCTATAAATCAAATGAAAATTTATCAATTTTTTTTCAAGTTTATTTTGAGACAGGGTCTTGCTGTGTAGCCCAGGCTGACCTTGAACTCATCATGATCCTCCTGCCTCAGGCTCCAGAGTGCTGAGATTACAGGCATGAGCCACTATGCCTGGTTAATTTATCAATTTTAAATAGTAAAACCTTCAAAGGTTAAAAGGGAAATAATCAAATGTCAGAACATTAAAATTACCATTTTTCCAAAGGAATACATAAATAAATATGATCTAACTTATTTGATATTTACAACATTAAAGATAAATTTTTATTGATGGAAGATGTTTTAAACATTTTGATATGTGAAAAACTTCACTAGTTTTATTTTATTTGATTCTTTTGTTGTTGTTTTTTTGAGACAGGGGCTCACCATGTAGTTTAGGCTGGCCTTGAACTCACAGTGATCCTCCTGCCTCAGCTTCCTGAGCGCTGGGATTACAGGCATGCACCACCTGGCCCAACAAAACTTCACTACTTGTAAAAATCAAATTCAAATCCTTTGAGCTTCATACATAGCACTTTGTAAATAGTTCTCATCATTCCTGTCCCTGAATGTAGCTTGCTTCCCCTCCTCAGTTACTGGCTAGGTAAGCATTTTGAAATCTTCCTGTGAAAGTTTTAAAGAAGCTAAAGGCTTTTGGGGGGTAGCTGGTAATATTTAACATTTCTACTGACTAGTTGCAATAAAGTCTTTCCTTTTTTTCCTATGGCTTTATTAGTTTTGGTCCCCTATCCTCATTTTTAAACAAACAAGAGCATTAGGAACTAAAACTTTAAAAACAGTATGAAAGGCAGATGTGGTAGCACATGCCTATAATTGCAGCACTCTGAAAAGCTGAGGCAGGAGGATCACAAGTTTTGACCAGCTTGGGGAATTTAGTAAGATCCTCTCTCCACATTAAAATAGGGCTGGGGATGTAGTTCAGCGTGAAGTCCGTGGGTCCAATTCTTAGTACTGGGTATGTGTGTATATGTGTTTGAGGGGGATATCACATGAAAGAGAATTATATCAAAATTGAACTGAATGGCTGTAAATTTTCTACTAAAATATGGTCACTAACTATAGTTGAAAAACAGTAGGAATGCTGTGAAAAACTGGCAGCAAAACTGAAATTCGACCACAAATTCTATTAAGTTTACAGAGAAAAAAACCAGCAAAATTACTGTAATTAAAACAGTGCCAGGAGTGTTCTATTAGCAATGCCCTATTGGTAGCATCTGAATTAAATGCTGCATCACTATCTGGTATCAAGAAGATTCCTCGAGCAGATGGTTCTCCTCTGACACCATGTTTCAGAAACGTCAGCGAGTTACGTCTGGTTTAGATCGACACACGTACTATGCATATCAGTCAGCTACAGTTTCAAGGATACAACAAAAATGTCAGGTATCACAGCTTCAGACCAGGAGAGAAACTTAAATCTCAGTCATGTGATATGCTCTATGATGATGGGATGTACAATCCAGCCGCTGCAGCTGTCAAACTTAGGCTAAGCTACGGGAGAAAAAGACAGGTTTTTTGGTCATACTTAAAACATCATAGAAGGCATTTTATATATATGATGATGTACTATACAAATATCCATTATATATCTCCTTTCCAAAATAAAACATTTTTTGTATGCTCCATTTCTTCTAAATGAAGGACCCAAGTATAATGTTCTTAGCTTAGAAACTATTATCTCAGTTGTTCTACACGGAATGAAACTTCAATGGCAAGCAGCATATAATTTAGGATAGTTGGCAAAAGTATCTTTTATGGTATGGATTTAACACATTTTCAATTTACAATGGGTCTATGAGGATGCGACCCCACTGTAAGCTGAGGAGCATCTCTAGGGTCATAGAGAAACAATAACGGGAAGACTGACAGGAAGGTGTCTAAAAGCTCTAATATGAACTTCCATGACAACTTCCTTTCAAATGCACTAAAGAATGGCAAAGTAAATTAGTTAAGAAGAAAGGTGACATTGTGAAGCAGCACTATCTCAATTAGTTAATTTTTCAGAAAACTGGTTTTAACCATCAACACATAATCAAACTTTCCACTCTTCCAAACACATTAGAAATATACAATTAATCATAGCAAAATTTACAGCCAATCAAATTTAGCCAGATCTATTTACATATTTGGATTAGTCACGTTTTTACCTTTCCTTGTTATATAAATGCTTCTATTTTAAAGGCATATGTAAATGTACCAAATCCACAAGAAACATTAAGTGTACAACTTCAACAACTAATACAAATATGAGCATCTGAATATGAGCACACTTAACTTCCACATCAGGAATTTTATGATGAGTTTATAGAAAATTAAAGAAGTATCTCACTCTTAAATTCCAGATATCTGGCTGGTGCTGGTGCTGCTGCAGTGACCTCCTTGCCCTCAGTGGCCCCTGTGATGGGGACCCACGGATACAGCTGCTGAACCTCTGGGAACTGACGCGTCAGATAGAGGCAGGTGGTGGTGTGTGCAGAGATATTGCTAATTACAGTTACAGTTACGGGGACGCCGCTGGGCGAGTTCACACGTCAGTCAGTGGTGTGTTCCTGTGAGTCAGTCTTCAGTTTCAGATGATGCCTCTCAACAGACACCTTAGCTGCTCAAACTAAATGGTATATTCATTCATACCAGGTACTCACCAGTAAAAGGGAACGAACTATTGATACTGTAGCCCTTTGCACGGAGCTGAAGGGAATTATGGTAAGTGAGAAAGACCAGTCTCAGAGGTTTCATAATTTAGGATTCCACCTGAAAAGCATTCCGGGAATGACTAAATCACAGAGCTGGAGAACAGAGTGGCTGTCAGGGACTAAGGTGGGAGGCGGGAGGGTGATAATGGCTGGGAAAGGGCAGTTCAGGGTCCCTGTGATGAGAGTGCTGTATCTTGACTGTGGCAGTGGTCACAGGAACGTGCACAGGGGACAAAAATGCAGAGAACCAAATACACATTCCTTCTCGGGGCCCCTGTGACCTCCCAGACAACCCTGTTCTTGGCTGTCGACTCAGAGTTCTCTAAAGATGATTCATGTTTGCTTCGGATCAATTATCTGCACTCTCTTGAAAAGCCACTTCTAGCTACTATTTTTTCTTCATTTAAAAAAAAATCTTTCATTACTTTAAAAAATAAACCACATCTCTACCTGAAATGAGCTTGAAAATCAGAGACTGAAATAAAAAGCTGATATATATAGTTACTAACATTTTTGCTTTTCCTTTTTTATTTTTCCAAGGTAAAAGAGAAATAAAATTTTTCCAGCTTAAATTAGAATAAATCAGGGCCAGGGATTTAGCTCAGTGGTTCTCCCGTCTGCCTCGAAAGCGCAAGGTCCTGAGTTCGATCCCTGCTACCAAAAAAAAAAAAATTAGAATAAATCAGAGAAGAAAAAAAAGCAGATTACATAGCAAACATTTCTCCTCTGACACCTTCAATTTCTAAAACAACTAAGAATATTTTTATTCAATTTAGGGAAATTACAACTGCAATCAAATGCATGACTTCTTCCAAAAGGCCACTTTGTGATAAAGTATATACACATAGTGTTGATGGTTTCCTTAAAGTGCTTAACCTCTCTGGCAAAGAATCACCTATTGCTTTAAAAGGTCTTTCAGTACAACTCCAGCGCTGTTGTCAGGTGACACCGGCAAAGGCGTAAATGTGGGCAGCACATCTGAGATGGGTTTCAAAAGAAGATGCCCTGGTGCACCAGGCCCAAGTCCAGACGGGTTAACAAGAGGCACCGCTGCAGAGCGGGGAGCCAAGAATGGACTCGCATCTGTTCTTCTACCAGCCCTGAGTTCTGTTGTATCTAAACGATAAAATACGGGTTATTTAGTCTCTGTTCTTCACAAAAAAAGTTAAATTGAAATAATCCTCCAAATATAGTAGCATAAAAAGCTCTTTCTATATTGTCCTATTAACATACATACCTATGAGTAATCAATTTATCACTACTATCAACTTTTAAATTCTACATTATTGGTAAATACACTGATCTTGAGCACTGTTTTGGGGCTTTAATTATGAGGACAAATACACCTTAATTTCTAAATATAAATACTGACTTATACTATGAAAATCTGCTTAAAATTAACTTTTGGTAATTCAAGACATTTTCTGATAAAAACAATTCTTTACATGTTTTCTGTTTCTAGATTTGGCTTCCAAATAAACATAATTCATATGTTACTGGGTTCTGTATCCCACAACCAGAGGTCTATGAAATACAGATGAGTAATATTTTAATTTACATTTCTCTCAAGGCCAGCATTTCTTCATGTATTTATGGACCTTCTGTATTTCTTCTGAGAAGTATCCATTCATTTCAGTTCCTATTTTTCAAGTGGGTCTTTTATTGGGGGGGGTGTCTAAATTTTTTCAGTTCTTTATATTTTCTAGATATTAGTCCTCTGTCCAAGGTATACCTGGCACAAATTTTTCCCTTTCTGAGGATTGTCACTTTATTCTGTTGGTTGTTTCCTTTTCTGTGCAGAAGCTTTTTAATTTGATATAATCCCATGTGTTGACTTTTGATGTTATTTCTTATACAACTGAGGTTCTATTCAGAAAGGCTTTGTCTATGCCTTCAAAGATTTTACCTGTTTTATCTTCCACAGATTAAGTGTTTCTGTTTTAATATTTAGATCTTTGACTCATTTTGATTTTAGTTCAGTACATGGTGAGAGACACTGGTCTACCTTCAATCTTCTGCACGTAGATACCCTAAGTACAAATAGCCCAAACTTGAAAAAATGATTTCAACTTCAACTTCATTGGCCTTTAGAGAAATTCAAATTGAAACTACAACTCCAGAAAGAACAGCTATCAACAAGAAACCAAATAATAACAAATGCTGGGGAGGCTGTGGTGAAAAATGAACCCTCCTGCATTGTTGGTGGGAATATAAACAACAAGGTTGTTTATGGTATAACAAGGAAAAAAATATTTTCAGTATTTACTATACCTCTGAGATAAATGATTTTCATTAAATTTAGCAGTCAAATATGTAAATGACAACTAGATTTTACTACTTTATCTTTCTATAAAAGTTCAGAAAATAGAAACATTTGACTAAATAACCAAGGAGATTTTTAAGATTCCAGAATATAAATACTGAACTAAATTTAAATATATGTGATATAAACCAAAGAATATATAATAACATATATCTTTAGGCAGCCTATATTAAAATATGAAGATTAAAAAAAAAAGAGAAACCTTCTAGTAGTTAAGCCCTGGAAACAGCTTAGATGTCTATCAACAAACAAGTGAATAAAGAAAATCTGGTATATATACACAATCAAATTTTATTCAGTCAGAAAGAAGAATTAATTCATGTCATTCATAGAAAAACTTTTTTTTTTTTTTTTTTTTTTGGTTTTGTGAGGCAGGGTCTTGCTGTGTAATCCAGGATGGCCTTGAACTCATTATGTAGCCCACACTAGCCTTGAATTCACAGTGATCCTCCTGCCTCAGCCTCCCTCCTCCCTAGTGCTGGGATTACAGGCATGCAGCACTACACCTGGCTGGATGTATCCTGAGACCATAATATTAAGTGAAATAAGTCTGACACAAAAAGTTAAATATTGGAAGGTTTCTCTTATATAAGAAACTCACAATATAAATAGTGAAATAAAGGCAAACTTTTTGGAAAAGCCAGGGAATCAGAAAAGGGGTGGGGTAAAGAGAGGACCAAAAGTGATATATATCAATTCCCCAAAACAAATGAAAATATCATATATTGCAAACGTATAGCATTAAAAAATAAAGAAATTATAAATGGTCTAATAGATAACTCAATAAATTTTACTACGTGTCAATACCAGTGATCAGAACATACAAACTAGGAGGGTTGAAAAATGTTTAGACATAGTAGCTACAAGCCTCAACTATTCACTTCCAGGCAGACCTTTCAACATGTCAGAGGGCTTCATACTATTCTTAGAGGTCTAAGTCAGTTTGCTAAACTGAGCATGTATTATTTTCATGTCAAGGTTTGGCTGATTATAATACATAGATTTTCCAAGGGGAAAACCTTTCTTAAACTATAAACTCAGCACCTAACTCTGACTAGCAAACAGCACCAATAGTCAGAGAAGAAAAAAGTGACTAGGCAGAGGTTTAACCAATTCACTACCATTTCCAAAAGAATAATTCAAAGTAGCTCATGCAGGACAGAACTACAGTACCTGATAAACAAAGGGAAAAATTTTTTATACTACTTAAATTAATGCAAGCCAATTAAATATCAGATTGTTACAATTCAGAAAGCAAAACTTTGATGCCTTATTAGAATTTAGAATCACTGTTACACATTTTAATAACATTTAGTTAATATCACTGTAAAGCAAAATAATAAAGTTAAACATTCAATTTTTAACACTGTAGAAAAGAAATAAGCATATAGTTTTACCTTTCAAGGTTTCTGAAACATTTGTATTTAGTTCTTTCCTTGGTGAACCTAGAGGTCTCATATCATGAACAGAAAGCTTTGGTGGTGGAATAGATGGATGAGATTCTCTTTCTAGAAATTTAATAAAAAGTTCTGAAAAAGACTAAGAAAAAATATTTTGGTTATATAAGGCTAGATAATAAAATTATATTCACTACAAATAAGAAAATGTACCAGCTATTATAATTCAATGTTAAATACTAATCATGCTGCTTTAATCTTTTTTCTTTTTACAAAACAGCTTTACAGACTATTGTAGCATTTTTTATGTAGCTATTGCAAGTTAACAATTTAATAATCTTTTTTTTTTTGGTACCGGGGATGGAACTCAGGACCTTGCGCTTACCAGGCAGGCACAGTGCCACTGAGCTAAATACCCAACAATTTAAAAACCTTTGATGACAACACTCATTTCAAACACTTTATAATCAGAATTAGCCAACTGAGGACTCTCATTTTTTATCATTAGTGGCACTTAACACATCAAGTCTTTTCATTTTAATAACATGAAAAATTGTATCAAGTGAAAAAAAGTATTAAACATAATCTTCTAAAGATCTGAAAAAGATCTCCAGTAACACTGTCAAATTAAAATAAGGTAGTGAACATCTTTCCTTTAAATTAAATTTTATAACACCAAAGGAAAATAGGGTTTTATCCTATCCTATGTGTTTTCTTTATTAAAAAACAAAGAAAGAAACTCTACATTCCCACAGTGTTGTTGAATTCTGTTACCATTCACCCAAAGCCTGCTGCACTGTGTGTTCACGCATCTAACCACCTCCTCCTGCCAGACAGGGTGCATGCCAGGTGCCCTCCCCTTGTAGTTTGAAGCTGCAACACCAGTGCTTACAATGCCTGGGACACAGCCCTGCTCAGGTGTCACTGGCTCAATGACTTGGAACACACATAAATGAGTAAAATAAAGTCTCTGTAAGAATGGCATAATTTTGCAGAAAGATTGTCTGAGGCAGCAGGATCAAACACATATAAAGGAGCAGTAAAGGCTCTAAAAAATAAAAGTACCATATAAAAGTGAAAATAAAACTTTTTCAAATTATTAAAACTGCTTGTCATTTCCAAATCAGTTTCCTCAACTCCAAAATAATAAAATGGTTGTATAAAATACCCTAAAAGAGAAAACTGATTCTTTGCAAATAAGTGCAATATACAATTATTTCATCATTCATATTTAACAAAAATAAAATTAGTCCTTACACTATTAACCACAGATTGCTGATTTGGTCTCAGTGGAGTGTTGGGGACACTTTTTGATCCTCCTCCAAGCCAACCAGTCATCCACCTAGTGACACCTCCCTGATCTTCATTAAGCAACTGGAAGATTATTTTAAAACAGAAAAATAGCAATATGAGAAAAGATAGTCATTTTTAAATGATTTCAGATATCAGCAAATCAAGTTTTTAGTCTAATTTCTATTAAGTGTTTCCTACTATTGACAAAGGCAACAAATAGGATAAAATTTCATTGTAAGCACAATCTCAAATACAATTTGGGGTACTGTAATTCAAAATTTCAGCATCCTGATATGAGAACTGATTTATAAGTTGCAAAATATTTAAACTAATATCACACAAACTGAACAAATATATCTCTTCAATGTAGAATAAAATGATTCCATTTTTACATCACTAAGAAAATTAAGTAAACATTACACTAAAAGAAAACAAACCTTCGATGACACTATTTTAGTCATAAATATATTCAGAACAATAAATTTAATAAATGAATACAGAATGGCTTTCACTGTCTAGTTACCTGCTCCATTTCCTCCCTTTTAATACCCAAGATGCTTCCCATTAATCGGAACACTTCATGACGCTGATTTTTTGGTGTGTGGAAATGGCCAATGAGGAGATTTCTCATAAGGACTCTGGAAATGAAGGAGGAAACAGCTTAAGCCAATTGCACATGGAGTGTCCCCAAACAGTAACATAAACATTTGATTATACTTAATTCAATATTTAATTATAGGCCCAGGGATTGAACTTAGTGGTTTGGGCGCCTGCCTCACAAGCACCAAGGTCCTGAGTTCGATCCCCAGTACCAAAAAAAAAAAAAATTTAATTATAAAAAGAAAGAACAGTAAAATATTTTAAAGGGGCTTAAAAGAAAATCTAGACAAACCCAATTAGGAATATCTCAAATAACCCCAAATGTATACCTGTTAAATATCACTTATTTTCTTCAATCCAATAACTGACTGAGGAGGTGCCTCATTATTAATTTTTGCTGTCTGTCAGGGCTCATGTTCCCCTGGAGCAGACACTTAAATGGTGATAACTATTCTTGTGTTTTAACCATTGTATTTTCCTATTCACATGTATTAAAATTTTGCTGAATTAAAACAATAAATTAAAAAAATATTAAAAGAGAGAGTATTGCATATACTCTTAGGTTCAGACCTAAGACACTTGAGCAAGATATGTCCATGCATAGACAGGAAAGGAAAAAAATAGTAGAAATAAACTTAGTACATTATTTTGCTGACCTCCATTAAAACTACTGATATTTCTCCTTATTATGTAAGAAAAACAAAAGGTTTCTCAAAATGTAGTCACATACAAACATCTAAATGTAGAAATTGTTTAACTTTTAATAAAAGCCATCTCTATAAAATATAAAAAAGTTAAAAGATAAAACTATACTTGTCCACTTTTCCTTCTGTGCTGTTTACTAAGTTCATCAGCTTCTTTTGTGCATCATCCAACATTTCTTGTTGAAGCTCATCTGTTTAAAACATGTGAATAAAGACAGCTATTAACTGATTAAAATAGCCTGGATGAATATATAATAATAATATAACATAATAATTAGACTTATGAGATCGATACTGTGAACTTTGAATGTATGCCCTATTCGAACTGGGAATATTTAATTACTTTTATTTCTTCTTTGGCTCCAGGAACTACACTCTCTGATACAGAAATTACCTAGATTACCTTAGAAATTACTTTATTCCAAATGGTTTACCCACAGTAAACTAATGGATTTCTTAACAGAGTATTTTAAAAAAAAGTTTAGATTTTCCTTCTTCTGTTTTCCTTACTGGACTCTGTTTTTTGGGTTTTTTGCTTTGTTTGTTTGTTTTTGGTACCAGGGATTGAACTTGGGACCGTGTGATTGCAAAGCAGGCTCGTCCCCACTGAGCTAAATCCCCGGCCATGGACTCTGTTTTTGATGAGCTGCATAAGAACACCTAACACAACTAAGATCATAGCTCAAGGTAGAACTGATATGGCTAAGTATTCTGGGGGCATGGAAAGTAACAATTCAGATCATTGACTCTAATATACAAATCATGTTATGATACTTTATGACTAAAGTGGGGAAATTTTTAAATTCTTATTTGAAAGGTGAACAAAAATCTGTAAAATTTTATTGGGATAGTGGAATTTCAGCACTTTAAAGGCAAAATCTAGAATCACAATAGGAGACACCCAGTTCATAAGCTAACCATGCCACAGGGTGAAGGATTCCCAGACTAAGGAACTCAGTTGAACAGAGTTTATACTTGTTATCTCAGAAGTGGATGGTTGGTGGGAGGAGAGAGAAATGTTTATTTATTTTAAGGTAGATACAAATTCTCATTCTGAAAGAAATGAACAGGACATTACTCTATAACAGAGCTCTATTTTTCAAATCAGGAACCACTCATATACCAAACACATCTTTGACCACTTTCTACAAATTTACTCTTTCTGCAACCTATGCATTTAGTAGCTGGATATAAGTTCTCTTATCAGATACATGATTTGCAAACATTTCTCCCATTCTGGGGGCTGTCATTTCTCTCTCTCTCTCTGTTTTTTTGGGGTTTTTTTTGTCATTTCTCTATCTTGATGGTATCCTTTTAATTTTGGTTAAATCCAGTTTAATTTTCTTTTGTTGCTTGTGCTTTAATAATGGCTAAGATACATATCATCTAACCCACCATCATGAAGATTTTTGCTCCTATGTCTTTTTCTGAGAATTTTACAGTTTTGACTCTAAAATTTATGTTCATCATTCATATCAACTTAATTTAAGGTCCAACTTCATTCTTTTACATAGGGATATCCAGTAGTTCCAGCATTATATGGTAAAAACCCTTCTTTTCACATAATTTTTGAAAATCAACTCACAAATATTGTGTATTTCTGGACTCTCATTTCCCATTACATAATTTTTACAATATTTTCTCTTCTACCCAGAAAGCCCTTTTCCATCAGTTAGCATTGCCCATTAACACTTATTCATCCTTCCTGATGTAGTTCTCAAATCGCTTCCTAAAAGATGTGCTCTCTGAGCCTTAGAGATCAGGTCTGTCTAGTTATATTTTTAGTCTGTCCTATACAATGCCTAAAATTCTGATTTATAATAATAAATGCAAATAGGAGCAGAACTGCCCCCAGCACAGAGGAGGTGAACCTTCTGGGCCGCCATACCACCGCCCCCAGCACCAAGGAGGTGAGCCATGCAGGCACCAGCAGGATACATCTTCCTACTACCCAAAGAAATTAAAAGACATGTAAACAAGTCTCAAAATCAGACTTCCAGATCACCTAAAGAAACCCAAAAGGGAAACAAGATGGAACAATCTGATACTCAACCACCTGGATTCCCTGAACTGGCGACAAAAGAGGATTTGGAAAAAATGAAATCAGAAATAATTTCTAAGATAA